ATATATATATATATACATACTACTAATAAAGTATTATCTTATTTTATCTTAAATATCTCTATTTGGCAATTGAACGTTTTATTTTGAAAACACATCCCCGGAAGTTGTATGTTATGATCAGGCTAGCTTGACATCTGTGCTAACAAGCTACTTCCGCTTAAAAACTCACTGGCACCGACGCCATCTCGGGATTAAAGAACGTCCGTCGTTTTTAGCAAGAAAAAAATATTTGAAATAATTTAATATTCCATAAATTGACCATCAGGAACTTCTGAGACGACAATATAACATCATTATTCTTTAAGTAAGAAAGTGTTTAAATCCGTCTGCGAAGAAGAAGCAGCGTAGCTAAGCTAATAAAGCTAACCGATAGCTTTCACAGCGTGTTTATGTTTGTAGTGTTTTATGTTTTCGCCAGCGCGAAGAAATGTTGGCCGGATCTCCGGCTCACGGCGATGAAGCCAACGTTGAAAACAACAACCCGATATCGATGATCTCTCGCAGCGGCGATGGGGTGAACGCGTGCAACAAGACGAAGAAGAAGAAGAGAGGAGACCGGAAGCTGCACATCCGGCTATCCGACCACAACAACAACAACAACAACACTCTGGCAGCTCTGTCTGCTAACAAACCCGCAGCTCAGTCCGGTACCGAGCTCAGCCTCCATGATCTCAAACAGGGAGCTAAAAAAGAGGTAACGTTCACTTCCTCGTGTGTTGTTGTTGTTGTTGTTGTTGTTGTTGTTGTTGTCTTTACTGCAGTTCGGGGTTTTATTTTTTTGCCAACCAGTTAGTCTTGAATATATGAATAACATTGAATATGTGAGTTTGGAACTATTCAAAAAAACAAGACATTAGAAGACCTGAACTTGGTCTCTGTCATATTGAACCTCCACTACTTATTTAACTATTTCCCGAAGTGTTGTAGACCAAATGATTACTCTACTGTCCTACAAATAATCCTGTTTTGAAGCCAGTTGTAATCCTATTTACATTCCTAGAGTCATCTTTCTTTTTACAAGTTGTGTGCTTATTAAGCCGCATAAAAAGATGGAGAACTCCACCAAAAAATCCAAATGTTGATGTCCTGTAATACAGTGGATTTAATCGTGATAGGCTCCCTTATAGCAGAGGCAGTTGGACATGACGCAGTTACTAATCCTTGTGCAAGAATCGAAAGTGTGATGAACAAGCTGGTCTTCCGCTTTCTGCTGGCAGCTGCACGGGTATTGAAGCCCCGGGCTGCAGCCTGCAGGCAGCAGGGTGCAGCCTGCAGGCTTGTCTGTCAAATTCAAAAGGGAGAGGAAAGTCATGTGAACAGTGCCAAGTTCATAACACTCAAAAATATGTTCTATGATGTAGAAATCAATTTTTTTGTCTTTGTTTTTTTACTCAAAAGTGTTAATTTAACAGTTGTGTTCTGACTTTCCCGCTATGATAAATGTTCGGTACTTATTGAGTAATCAATAAGAGTTTTTCTTAATATAATCCCGTATGTTGAAAGGGAGAATACAGGAGGTTAAAGTGGAGGACATGTGGTTTGATAGTGTGTGGTTAAGGTCTGAGGTTGAAGCTTCCAGACAGCGAGGGTCCTCTGTCCTCCTTTCACTTATAATCCTAAAAACAAGCTGCTAAACTATATAGCTCCTACACACAGTTTAGGTATTTACAAAATGTTTTCTGATCCATTCTCCTTCACCACTGTTTGTCGTGGATGTCATGAAGTCCTTTTTGTCTAGAAGTGTTTTTAAAGAACAGAAAGTCTTCCTGACACTAAGTGGATCAATTTACAAATAGACTTCAACAGTAACGATGGGGTTAATCGACTAAAGATATTCTTAGTCTGCTTACACTCAACTAACTGAGTTTCTCCACAAAGAATCACAAAAAAATACCACCTTAAATATTGTGTTTACCAGAGATGTGCTCATAGGTTCACGAATAATCGACTAAAGAAATATTCACCCTCACTTTAAATTCATTTATTGTGAACGACACAAATGTAAAGACCATGATTACGGTATTTCTGTTATTGTTGGTGCTTTCTTTCTGTTTGTTTTCATGTTTTTGATGCAAAGTTCTTAACTTAAGGTCGACCAACAAGTGATGATTAATGAGAGTTTGTTTCGGTTTCTTAGCTGCTGAAATCCAAAGGCGGCAGATCGGAGCGAGGAGCCGCGCTGCCGGGCGGCCAACCTGCTCGCAACGTTCCCCGACACGACCCAATCACCCAGAACATGATCACACGGAGCCACAAGCCCAAGCCGGACCAAAGCCCCGGAGCTGCTCTCTCCACGAAGAAGAAAGACAAGCCCCTCCCCCTCCACCGTGAGCAGAAAACACCTCTCCGCGCCTCCGACAACACGAAGACCGTGGACGCACCGCCTATTGAAGCTGCGCCCGAACACCTCAAAGATGGCGAGAAGGTCTACGCCGGAGCCAAGTTCAGCGAGCCGCCGTCACCGAGCGTCTTACCTAAGCCGCCGAGCCACTGGGTCGGCGAAGACGAGCCTCAACAGAGCGACCAGAGCCGAGAGCAGATGACCGTTCATCTAAAGTCGCTGCTGAAGGTTCAACAGGAGTCATGACCGCATCTCACACCGGACTCACGCTGAATGACAACAATTGGAAAATAGGTGTTACGGTAAAGTTTGGCCTTTAACACACTGCAATACAATGTCGGGAGTTTTTATTTTAACTGTAGTACAATTAACCGTGAATCAACACACATCGTGTTGACCGACACGCTGCGTGCGTCACTTCTGTTCAACACTTCTCCTTCTCTGTCGGCAGAGCAAAGAAAATATGCTTTTTATAACGAGGACAAGGTCGTCTCCGGAGAACCGCGTTCACACGGGCCAAAAGTGACGACGCCACTTTCTTTGTGAACACTTTTGAAAAGGCCGCCTTGTGTGTGTGTGTGTGTGTGTGTGTGTGTGTGTGTGTGTGTTTTTTTTAAAGAGCTCATGTTAATGTACAAAATATATTGTAAACATATATTTGTGTATATTTTTCCTTGTTATTTTAACAGAGATTCTAGTTTTGTTACTGAGGTTTTTCCACAAAAAAAAAAAAAAAAAAAAAATGAGCCCAGCCAACTGAGGCGCTTGTTACCGCTCTTTTAGCGCGACGCTCAGTGGACGTGAGAAAGACTTTTCTAACTGATTTGCACTGAAAAGCAGGAAGGGCAGGAAACGTGGTCATGATGCTCCGAAGCTTGATCAGCCACCAGCCGGCTCTGACCACAGCAGAGGACGTCCGCGGCCCGGCTGGTTGCCCCTCAAAGGGGCTCAGATAGCGGACGATTCAAAGCGCCAGATGTTTACCATCTGGCGCAGAAGTTTACCATCTGGCGCAGAAGTTCTTTCCCTTCCCTGAGAAGCCAAGAGTCCAATCAGGGACTGTGAGGCTGCTGAAGACGACAACCAGCATCCGGACAGAGTGCTATTTTAGTTCTTTATTGCACTGACGTAGAGTACGTCCACATGAAGCCGGCTGAGTTTAAGATATCTTTTTCTGAGCCGGTGTCTTCTGGCTTCTGTTGCTTCCAGCTTTCTCCGTGATCAGTACTTTTAAATGTCCAAATAGACGATCCCCAAAAACGACTAGAATAAGTGGAATGCCTGAAGAATTCTCTGCAACTATTTTGACAGAAATAGTTTGAGTCATTTGCTGCTTCCAGACAGAACAAGACATTTCCGTGTGTCACTGAAGGCTTTTTAAACAATATGACATAATGAGAAATCAATAATATAATCATAGCCTGAGTCATAATCATAAAAATACGGACTTTTACTTTGAAACATATTCAGTAAGGGAGGACAACTAAATGGTGAGTTTCAGCTGTTAAAAGAGAATAAATGTGATCACAGCGAGCAGGAGAAGACGTTTGTGTTTGACTCACGTTCTACCAGACGTTGTTCAGTCGTTTCCTGAATGAAAAGAGGAGGAGGAAGAGGAAGAAGAGATTCAGCTGTTTTCATATTGTAAACTGCTTTAACAGCTTGTACGGCTTCATGTGGACGTCGTCTCACTTTTGTCTTGTGTCTTTTAAAGGGGGCTTTGTTTTCACACACTTCATTACGCATACCTCTTCTTTACCATTTCATTTCTTTTAAGATGCTTCAAAGCACAAATATTGTTTACCAAGAGTGCAGTACGCGGTGAATTTAGCACCGTTGATCTTGTGATTATGTACCGGGTTTTTATTTTTGTAATGGTTTCTGTGGAAGCAGACACCTGCTGGATCTCGGTTCTTGACCTCTGTGATGTCACGTTAATGGAAAATTGTATTACTGAAGCAAAAACTGCCCGTTTTATTACAGTGTTTTCAAATTATTTCATTCCAGTTATAAGAATGTGGTTAACAACACGCCTCCATGCCACAATCTGGGTGGGTGAAAAAAGTGTTTTATGAAGAATTTCTTTCATATCTAAATTAAAAATGATATTAAAATATTGGTTACCCCTGTTAAATGTTGCTTCTGTGTTTATTACTAGCCAGGGAACGTGTTACTTTTTTGTCTTTTTAATGACAGAAAACAAGATATGGTTATCAAACGCTTCATCCAGATGTACATTATTCAAGTTAATGGTGAGAAAAATATAGAAAATTCACCAAATAAACCCAACGTTCCTGACACTACATTTCCATTTCGCTGTATGTAGTTTGGAAAGATATTGAATGCGTTAGGTGTTCATCTGATACTTCAGCCACTGCTATGGAAGCTAATGATGATCATAATGATTTGAATATTATGAGAATGTTTATGAAATTTAAACAGCACTTCATATTGAATTGCCACTGAATTTATAGCTGAAATATTTACTTTAAAAATGATCTGAATTATTATTCAGTAGTTCATCTTTCAATCGTCAATTTCAAGTGTTTGGATTTGAAAAAGCACCCAGATTCTTTGACTTGACTTGAATTTTTAGATAATTAATAATAATGAACTTGAAAGTTTGAACATAGTTTTTGACATTAAACGTTGAATGTCGATGTTTTTGCATTCGGTCATAGCCAGTGTAGTACATTGAGCAACCGCTGTTGTGAGTTATGTGGTATAATAACGCTATTGAGTTAACGTGGTACAGTAACGAGTATAACAAGCAAGAAAGTTAAGGGTCAAACAAGCACAGGACTTTCACCCCGGAGGCCACTGTCCATGTCCTGTGTAAAACCACAAGTGTTGACTTTACGCTTGTAACGTTTTATTATGCTTGTTTAGAAAGTGTGCAAAGGACGGTCGCTATTCATTCACTCTACGGTAAGTTGTTACGTGTATCTTTGCATATCTCCAACGTGAGGCGGTACATATACGCATACTGTTGACCTGAGCTAGGCCTAAACGCTAACATCAGCATGCTAACATGAGCCCCCTCCTGTTTACTTACTTAACTTAAGAAAGCTATATTCCCGTGCTAAGTTCTTGTTAACTTTTCCAGAGAAGCAACACAAAGTATCCTGACTGCAAACATTACAAACTGACATGGGATGTGCTCGGCTCAGGACAGAAGGGCTCTACAGTAGGTGATTAAAACCGCCCAGAACAATATTGGTCTACTGAGCGTCAGTGATATTGGTGACAAGAGGTGCCTGCGCAGAGCCCAAAGGATAAAGACAAAACCCACCCAGCCACAGCTTCTTCACCCTGCTGCCGTCTGTCACAGACGACAGAAAGCAGAAGAAAGAAAGGAGACAAAAATAAACTGTAGAAGACTGAAAAATCTTGCAAGAGATACAGAAGTATTAACTTGCGAAATGTGACTACACAACAGCTTTTTGTTGTGCAACCCTGTGTTGTACAAAGACAATAAATGAAACGTTGATAGTGCCAAAATGCTGAAGTTAAGCAGATAGTTACCATGTTCACCATCTTAGTTGTGTGTTAGCATGCTCACACTTGCTAATTAGCACTAAACACAAAGTACATCTGAATTGGTTTTGCAGGTATTTGGTCAATAACCAAAATATCGGAAAGATATAAATGTTGACACGATGGTGGTCGACAGGAAAAGTTAATCACTAAGTTTCATCAGATAGTTGAGATATTTCAGTCCGGACCAAAGTAATGAGCCGACGAACCAACTGAAAGTACATCATGTTTATAGTTCAAGACAAACAGAATAGATTTGATTGAAACTGACACATTGTGGATTCATTAATGGGATTTTTATCTGACAGACACAGTAACTTTATATTTGATTTGAAGTGCAGTGAGTTGAGTCAACGTTAAATTACACTTTCTAAGACGGGAATTTGAGACATAGCTCTAGAAAAATATAAAGGAGAAGTGGCATCTATCTTTCTGCAGAAGGGAAATTACAGGTCTAAAATTGTTGCAACTGTACCTTTGAGGAAAGAAAAAAAAGAGGGATGAGGAAGTTACACTTTACTAATTACAGGAAGTAAATTCAACATTTGTCTTCATGCTCATACTCATCTTAATCTCATACTCATCTTAATCTTAATAATCCATTTTCTCCAGTGACTCAACACGAGGACAATGATGAAGTGACGTTCAACTGCTCTGTGTTGACATATGAAGGATGTAGACACAGTGACGTGGCTGAATCAGGGTCAAGATGTGGGAAAAGACAACGTAGGGATGAAGACATCACAGGCTAATTGCTCTGCTGATGTGACATTTTCGACTTCTTATTTTGTTAACACTTTAAACAACCATAAGTTGCTCAAGTGTAAAGTGACTGATGATGACCCTGGAGAACCGCAACTGTTTTACTTCAGCCCACCTCAGTCATCAGGTGAGAAAACAGGTAAAACTATGATGAGAAGTTTAAAAAAGGAAGAAATTCTGCACCTTTTATGCAGATGTAAAATCAGCATTGATAGTTAATGTATTTGATTTAATCAATAGGTTCCTCAGTGTGTGCTATATTGACTAAAAAATGCTGAGTTAAACGCTGCAAAATCTGTTATTATTCCTCCATCCAGCACCCTCATTTGACGTGACCGTGACGTAAATGGTGTTTGGAAGGACGTTTATTTCTGCGTGGATTCCTCCAGGCAGCCAGGGGGCGCTGAAAAACAGAACTACCTTGTTCTTTGCTTGTATTGCGAACTATAAAAATGACATGGCAAAATCTGACTACAGTGAGAAGAGCAGAGCCAGTATTTGTGTGTGTGAGTGAGTGTGTGTGTGTGTGTGCTTTCTTGTACTTGCTACACAGTGAGGACCGTGAAACGTTTTTTACTATCAGCATGAGGACATGTTTGGAAAGTGAGGACATTTTGGCCAGTCCTCACTTTTTCAAAGGCCTGCTTGAGGGTTCAGACTTAATTTTAAGGTTGAGGTCAGACTGAGGCTTAAGTTTGTTAAGATCATGTTAAGGGGCAAGGGAATGCAATGAGGGTCCTCACAGAGATAGAAGTACATGGATGTGTGTGTGTGTGTGTGCGTTTTGTTAATGTTGTGGGGACCTTAATCTGTTTACACAGTCACATTGTGGGGAATCACCTTCCTTTTGGGGAGAGAATGTAAGTCCCCATAACATTAATCATCACAATAACATCCAGGTATTTAATGACAGTCAATGTAATGTCCTCTAAAGTGATAGAAACATGACTATGTATGTGTATATATATATGTAACATAAACACTGAACGGACAGCCACATGAAAGGTGCCGAATGCCCTTCACAACCACTTCATCCTGATGTATGTAAATACACATGAGATCATTTATTTTTTATTATTTGTCAGCTGAAGATACAACAACAGGATCAATGTCAACAGCAGCAACACTGACAAAAACACATGATGGTGAGAAACAAAGTTGCTGCTGACAACAACAGAAAACAAACAAATACTGTAGATTTGGTTGCAATGAAAATGTTCTTTTCATCCTACAGCAGAATATGTAGCCCCTCAGCTTCTTAGCATGATACTGTATGAAATACTCTATGAAAACATCAGGGCCCCGTTCCTCATACGTGGTTCAACTAAGTCGATCAAATGTCCTATTAGCCAGCCTAAATTAACCCGATGATTGATGTCAGGCTATCTCGGTTTCTCCAAGGCTGATCCGCGCTCAAACACTCTCGTTAATTCGAACCAGACGATCAGGATCAGGATAATTGCGCGTGCCCGTCCTACTTCAAAAGGGGGAAGCGTCGATCACCGAAACCATGATTTTCTAACAGTACAATGGCAAATAAACTCAAAGAAAGAGCCTCTTTTTTCTCCGCTGACGAGCGGGAGATGATCATGAACGCATATGAGGAATTCAAGACCATAATCACGGCAAAATCTAACACCTCCACCGCTGCGAGGGCTAGACAAGAACCACGGCAAAATATCGCAGACAAGTTAAATGCGTAAGTGTTGGGAAAATATATCGGCTCATTTTAAGTGCCTCATCACCCCAATCAATCAGATTATATTTCTTTAAATGTGCCTGCTGGCAGTAGGCTTCATGGAATGCATCATCGAATGAGATCTTGCTAGCGAAAATAATGATCTCAACTCTTTTAGAATAAGTAAATAAAAACAAGCCCAAAGGGTATCTAACTGATATGAATTAATATGAGGATATATGTACTGTATGCCCTTATGTATCATGTAGCCTACTATATATGTGAATATACATGTCTGTGTAGATTACCATATATAACTAGGAGTTTGAATATGTGTGTGTGAATCTGTGTATGGGCGGATCAGTATGTATGTATGTATTATTCATAATCAGAAATTCAATCAATTGAAGCAGTGAAAAGAAATAGTGTGTGATTCTCTCTATTCTTATCATGAGTCCACCTTAATCATTTTCTACAGTAATGATATGCTGGTGTACTAATAACACTGTCATATAATTATGAGTGCTTTCAACCCTCATGTATGCAACGCAGCCATCAAGAGGACATGGGAGCAAGTAAACACTAACACACACACATTATTCAGAATGGTGAGTCAATATGTGCCATGGTAATGTAATGAACACATCCATAAGTTTATTAAGCGCCAAATAAACTTTACGAACAGCACGGCATGCAGCGGCTTTCCCGATGTTCTCCGCATCGCCGACACTGTACAAAAATGTACCACTCGCAAAACAGCGCAAGGCTGCATCCAGTCTGTGAGACAGTCAGTGCTCGGCTGCGGCGTGTGGTGTTCAATGTATGGCTCGAGAAGGTCTTGTAAATAAATGATTCCTTGTCGGTAGAATCGATAGCTCTCGTATAGGAAGTCATCATGATGTGATAACGGATCTTGGCGATGTGGAAGAACTCTCTCCCTATAAAACGCTAATCTAACTAATATCGCTCCTTCATCAGTGGGATCTCTGAGGAAGGGAGCTGTACATTAATGCAATAGAGGCTTCTTAGTTTGCTCAGCTGCTTTAATGGATCACCGTGTGTCTCACTTTACATGCATTTCCGGAACTCCCGTATAACCCCCAGTATATGCGCAAGCGCATTAGACTACCGTATATGACAGGAGCTGCCATTTTTTC